GAGAGAACTATGGGGACATTGATGAGATGTTTTCACTCTTAATGATTCGAAAATTTTAAAGGAAAAAAAAAGTGTACACAACTGGTTTTTGCTTACATAATAAATGAAAAATTGACTAAAAAATTCTACAAAAATCTGATAATGATATTTCTATTTGTTCTATTAACACAAACTTCCTTCATCTCCACCTCTTTTTTTTTTTTGTTGACTAATATCCAATTCAAACATACATTTTGATAATCTAATATATATACACACATACACACACATGCACACACATACACACGCACATAACACACACACACCCACACACACATACATCGTAAGTTAAACATAAAAGTAATTATTATTTGTCTATTAATCATGAAACATAAATTTATCATATTATTTAAATCAAAATTAGAAAATTAAAATAGATATCTATTTTAATCGTTTAAATATAATAATGAGAATTAAAAAACTATTTGGGATAACAATTACATTTCCATTTCCAATTTATCTTTTTGATGATTGGATTAGCTTTTAGTTAGTTTATAAATTTGTTTAAACAGCTGACCGCTGTCATTTGTTATACCATTATAAATCAATTCATTGTTTGACTTACAAATGCAAAAATTGGAGGAAGTATATGTGAAAAGAAAAATACATTTTAGATAATATGCGCTTATTTATGATTATAATAATGAGAGGTTACAAAACTTTCAAATATATTTCATTCATATCTCATACAACAATATACATAATTAATTATTTAATGATTTACTTTGTTATATACTATAATTTTAATATAATCATTAAATGTCACCTGAAAATTTATCATATTAAAATATCAATAATATCAATGACCGTTTAATTTAATATCTTACTTTATAACTTAATTACTATCCATTAAATGATATAAGATTCACATTGGCCATTGCTATGCGCAATTGTTAAATGTGTTTAAAGAAAAAAAAAAGTTGCAAAATTTAAAAAGACGAAATTAATTATCCAAGAAGAAAAACTAAATACGCCATCTGTTGCTGTGAAGAAATCCATCATCAGGTTAATTATAACGCTCAAATATGATAAACATTTTTATGCCTGCAAATAAATATGCGCTAATTAATGGCGTTATTGTCACACTCTTATTTCATTTCATTTATTATTACTTCAATATGCTAACTTAATAAGTGTTTATATTTCCAGCTACGATTTCTTTATTTATATTCTTAAGTAAGTTTCATCTTCTACCTGTGTGATAATAAATTATTCTCATCAAATTTTTACCTTCCTTACTTTGTCTAAATTCATTTCAATATTTTTTGCAGGGAGTATTTGGTAAATGCAACGTTTGCATGCAAGTAGCATGCAATTAAATGTCTTACATGAACAATTATTTGTGTTCGAAAATTCTTGTTAAATCAATTGTCATTAATTTTTGCATAATATATCGCATTTCACCATTATTTTATGCAAATTTACAAGGATTAAATTTAACACTTCTCTAGTGATATCGATCAAATCAATTCTCGTTTGGATAAGCAGCAATATTTTAACTGTATTTCAATAATTCTAACCGATGTTATATCGAAATTTTCACCGCTATTTTTCAATGAAATTTTCAAATTTCCACCATCTTCTAATCAGTGATAAGATTTGGATTAATTCGATTAAATGCTTTTATATGCAATTTGGATTTAATGGAAAACTTCGAAGGCTTTTTTAATTTCATTAATTTTAACATTCTTAATAACTTTATGCTACATAGTTCATATGCAACTTCATGTATCATTTCATAATAAACTATCAAGAAATAGCAAATTAACAGAATCTCTGTTAATCCAAAATACGACCAAAATTTTGGCAAATAAGAAACAAGAATCAGCAATGAAAGTTTATTGGATAATGTATCAAATTCGAACATTCATTCGACAAATTTCGAATTTTATACGAGAAGCTTTTTTATCATTAAGATGGTATTTGCTTATAAAGTTGGATTTACAAACGATTCCATCAATGATAAATGATACGAATGATGATATCACAGATGATACATTATTCATTTACAAAGCATTTCTGGATTTACGACGAAAAGAACCATTAATTCGAATTCTAGCATTTAGTCAATGTCGTGATATTAATATAATTCTTCATTACAATTTACAATGTATATCAGCAAAAGATATTACAATAGAATATGATTGCCCATGGAAATGGGTACCAGAATGTAAATGGTTCTCTTTTATGCTCATTTTTAATATTGGAAATATCAATTTCTCGATTAATACTGTAAGTGTTTTACAATAAGCAATCTTTTTTCTTTTTTTCAAAGTGTCCCATTTATTTTTAAAATTCATTTGCATTTTAACTCAATGCATCGGTCATTGAAATGTATGAGAATATAATTTATTATGAAATATTTGATAAGTAATGATTAATTGTATTTTGCATATGTTAACTATTTCAATTAATTATGTTAAAATTTTAAGTTAAAACTTCTTATCTAGCTTTTTTGTGTGTGTGTGTGTGTGTGTGTGTGTGTGTGTGTATGTTATAGCTAAATGTTACCGTAGCAAATTAAATTTAGCACAAATATTCTTCAATAAAATGCAATAAATATGGCATGCTTATAATTTTAAAAAAATGATAATAATAATAAATAAATAAACAAATGTCTCTTTGGATAGTAAAAAAAAAAATGGGAAAATTTAATTAAGTTTGCAGTATAATAAAATCTTTATATTGTCATATACATGCAATAAATAAATGGAAAAATTAAGTATTAAAGATATTTTTGCTGAAATTTTTGAAAAATTAAGAAAGAAATAACGGTGAGTGAAAAAAATCGAATGATTGTTATCCCGTTGAAATTGCTTCCGCGGAAATACAAAGATATTTTACATGTATGTGTACCACCTCTTTATTGGTACTGGAATTATGTTGCATTTATACAATTCATTGAGGTATGCAATTTGCATATTTCATTTTAGTTGAAATGAAAAAAGAAAAAATCTCATGTCTTAAAATCAACATATAATAGGATTAGATTGATTTAAAGTTTTGCACTTTGTGTTCGAAATTAATTAAAAAATGTTATTTTTAATTTCCTTCAAATTCTAAAGTATCCGTATCCTTTCATACTTATTGTTACCATAAAAAACGAGCATTTTTATTTCAATGAATAAAATTAATATATTCATTTAAATAACGTAAAAATTGAAATGCCTAAAATTATCACACAATTATCATAGTTATATATCAATTAGTTATAGTAATAAACTAATTATTATATAAATTTGTTATCAATATATAATTATAAAAGATTAATACACAATTAGTTAATTCAAAATAAAATTAATATATTCATTTAAATAACGTAAAAATTGAAATGCCTAAAATTATCACACAATTAGTTATCATAGTTATATATCAATTAGTAATAGTAATAAATTAATTATTATATAAATTTGTTATCAGTATATAATTATAAAAGATTAATGCATAATTAATTAATTCAAATATTAAAAATGTATTCATTCACACAATTCTAATAATAATTCTAAGATTTGGAAGAAGCAAGGTGCTACAATGTTTTATATTTATTATGTATCGGTTAATAGACATATGATGGATGTTTTGAAAATTTACGAAAAAATGGTAAGTTAGTGTGAAGCAATGTCGTTATGAAAATAAAAAAGTGAAATTTATTTTAATGAAATTAATCAGTTCTATTCGAAGGATATAACTTCCATAAATGTTAGCCAATGTACAGATAATTTTATTTTAGCTTAACTAAAATTGTTTACCTTATCTGACTCTTTTGTTATTTTGCCAATTGCGTAAGAAATAGTAGTAAAAAATTATTCCAATTTATTCATTTAATTTAATTTAAATTATCTTTTCCAGGGAATTATTCAATTAATTCGTTGGCATATGTTACCACAATCAAAATTGATCGATCCAAATCGATGGATTTATCGTTTTGGTCATACACTCAGTATGAATGATTGTTTATACAGTTCATTTGCAAAATATGTTGCACTTGTTGATACAGATGAATTTATTATTCCAAAGTATGCTAAAACTATTCTCAAAGATTTCGCCTAAATATTAAATTACAATTTATTGCTAATTAACTCTTATGATTACATTATTTTTTTATCTTTTATGTAAAAAAAATATCAATGTTTGAAACTTTTTTTTTCTTTTGTATTAAATCTTGAAATTTCAGTTCCGGAACATTATTGCCATTTTTACGTAAAATGCATCTGAATGATACGGCTGGAAGTTTTGTATTCGAGCATGCTCGAGTCCGATTTCAGGGTTGGATTCTTTTAAAACTACAATTAAAACTTGATTTTGCTTGGCTAAAAAATGCTGAATTTCAAATTCAAGAAGGACCATCAAAAACAGTTTTTATGCCTGAACGTGTTCAAATTGTACTCACCCATAAAGTACGCGAATTTTTTAAACCATATAAATCATTGAAGGTATGTTTCCATGTTGCATACATATTAATATTATATAAATTACTCTAAGAATGATGAAATCACCAGATAGATTTACTAATTTTAACCTTTGAACTTTATATGAGAAGTTTAATTTAGAATAAAATTTATGTTTTCATAATGGTTATAAAAATTATTCAAAAAATTTGCATGCAAAATGTAAATTTTTTTTTAGTTTTAGTTTTAGTTTTTTTTTTTTTTGTTACATAATAGCTTTCAGATAAATACCACTGATGGCTTATTATATCATGCACGTTCCAATTGGATTTTTACAAGTCTTAATAATTCCATTTATCATTCAACAGATATCTTTAGCAAATATATTACTCTTCTAAATGACAAGTATCAGGACATCATGTCACAAGTACCATGGCAAGATTGGAATCTTATTCCGCTATGGAAAATTCTTTCTAAAAAAATTGAAAAATGTACGTCTAAGTAAGTTTTTAAGTTTTCAAAAAGTAAAATTAATTAGTTCATTGAAGTAATTAATTCTTGTCGTGAATCATTTTTAAAATGTCAATCATTCCGCATTACTTGCATTTTATAATTAATTTTCTCATTGCCCATTTTTGATTAAATTAAAATTTCGTCTGTATTTTAACAGATGGCGTATGTATGGTTGCAAAGCACCGTATCATTTATGTTGGAAAGCGTTAAATGATCAAGATGATTGGATTTTTAGTCATATTAATGTTAGCAGCAATTATATTTTGCTATAAATTTTGCTAATTGGAAATAATTAATGCTTCATTATGCTGTCCTTAATTAATTCATCAAAACAACAAGCACCAATTGTTTTATTAATGGAATTAAAATACTGGCGAAAAAAAAGTTACAATGACTTTTCGATGCTTTTTTCGCCTCATACGATTAGATATTTTCAGCAATTTAAACTTTTTCCAATAAATTCATCTCTGAATTTTCTCAAACATATTATGCTAAATTAGGCTTATGCTAATTAATTATCATCAAGCATTGTTGTGAATCATTTAAATAACTGATAAAGGAAAGTTCGCCGAATTTTGATCGATGGAACAATCATTTTTTACATTTCTTTATAGAATGAAATAGAAGGATTTTGCAGCAGGCAATTATACAAATAATATATGCATATATAATAATGGTGTAAAAGTAAAAGTAGTAAAAAGTAAAAGTGCAAAAGGGTTAAAAATAATTTAAATTTAAAAAAAAGAAAAAATTGTGAAGAAGATATGAAAAACTTGAGATAAATAATTGAGAAAGATATGAAACAACTTGAGATAGATAATTGAGAAAGATATGAAACAACTTGAGATAGATAATTGAGAAAGATATGAAACAACTTGAGATAGATAATTGAGAAAGATATGAAACAACTTGAGATAGATAATTGAGA